TCTCAAATACCTTAAAAATAAAATTAAATAAATTTAAGGTTAATGATAACTTTCATTCCAGTACTGAAGAATTTCTGAAAAACTAATAATTGGAGGAAGGACTTGAATTTTCTTACACAGTTTGGCACTTCACTGACTTTATCAATGTGTATGGTACTTTCCAGGCCCATCAAATTTTCAGAAGAATGAATGTTCTCAAGACTTGGTCTCTTTCAGCAACAGACTGTTGAAAATTTACTTCTAAAATACCTCTATGGGTGAAACACTGCTCTGCCCCCTGCTTTCTTATCTGGGCAAAATGTCTGTCTGTTAATAGAAGTATTTCCTACCCTTCTAGGGTTTGGCATTGTGCACTGCAGCCACGTTTAGCTGGCAATGTGCTTTCTAAGGCCCACTGCAGTCTTGCAAATGCCTTACCAAGAATCTGGATTGAGCTGGCAGAGGATGTGTCCTTAGTGCTTTTAATAGCACATATGCAATTACTTATTTTAAGATAGAATTAATAACTTAACAATTGGGGTTTATTTATAGAAATATATATACATGAGTGAAAGGAATATATAAACCCACTTAACCCTAATACTGCCAACAGTTGCCAAAACTCGCTTTTAATAATCAGCTACATTTTTAGAGAAGATCACAAGAGGGCAGTATTTTATAGTTTTTCATCTTATACAAAGGTGTAACTTCTGGCATAATTTTGCCTTTAAAGAAAGAAAAAGCTTATAAAGCAATCAATTATATATTACTACAGTAAATATAGTGTTAATTAATTTAAATTACCAGGGTTCTTACTGAGGGTAGCATCAGTTCTTAAAAGAATCCTTATAAATATGTTCTGGGTTTTGGTTTGTTCGTTTCTTCTTTTTTTCCCCCACTTTTTATCAGGGAGGTCAAAGCTAAAAGGATTACATTTGTAGTTAAATAACACATCTCTGGATCTTGCAGGATTTCACACAAAAAATTTCCAATTGTATTCTCCTAGGCACTATTCATTAATAGCCATACAAATACAGGTATCTGGTCTGTAATCTATAGTGTGTTTATATCCTTCCAAATATAAATGGGAACACTCTTTAAATGAATGTGTTCAATTACTCTGCTCTAATTTTGGTAGAGAGGATATAAGTAAAGTATGTTTCAGCATACATTAAAAAGTGTAACCATTTTTTATGATTATTGTTCTGTCTGTATCCCAGAATGGATAAGGTTGGAGGGGACTACCATCTTCCTGCTCAAGCAGGGTCATCCTAGAGCACATGGCACAGGATTGTGTCCAGGTGGTGTCTGAACATCTCCCATGAGGGAGACTCCACAGCCTCTCTGGGCAACCTGTTCCAGTGCACAGTCACCTGCACTAAAGAAGTTCTTCCTCACATTCACATGGAACTTCCTGTCCATCAGTTTCTGCCCATTGCCTCTTGTCCTGTTGCTTGGCACTACCCAGCAGAGCCTGGCTCCATCCTCTTGGCACCCCTTTCAGACAGACATTGATACGGTCCCCTCAGTGACTTCTTCTGGAGGCTGAACAGGCCCAGCTCCCTCAGACTTTGCTCTTAACAGAAGTACTCCTCCAGTGCCTTAATGATCTTTGTAATCCTCTGCTGGACCTGCTGCAGGAGCTCCAGGTCTCTCTTGTACTGAGGAGCCCAGAACTGGACATGGCACTCCAGCCTCACCAGGGTGGAGTAGAGGGGCAGGATCATCTCCCTTGCCCTGCTGGGAATGCTCTTCCGAATGCATGCCAGGATACCCCTGGCCTAGTTGTACCATTGGCCATTGGTGTAATTGTAGCAAAACTTACATACAAATTTTTTGTCCAGGGGGGTGACAAACATTTTGTGCGTGTTGTGTGAATAATTTTGTTTAAGGCTGTTTTACTCTTGTCTGTCCAATGAGTGGTTCAGTTCTTATAGGAAGGGAAGTTGTTGCTAAATTGATGTAGAACAGTTATTAAAGAAATGCAAGTGTCTGCTGCCTTCTAAAACACCTTCTGACTAGTCTTGGTCCGAGCAAAGTTTCAATTTTTAAATGGGTCATGTTTTCACATAGAGAATAATATCAACTATTCAATTATTAAATCAATTGTTGTATCATTTTTTGCTGAGGAGCTGGCTGAGGAAACACATCTTTAAAACCAGCTTATTATGGTTCCTGATTCAGCTCCTTCCCGGTATAAAATTGTCATGGAAGTTGGTAAATTTTTTTTTTGGAAGAAGAGTAATACCAGATTGTTGCCTGTTTAGCTGTCTTTATTCACTACTGGTGTGTAAAATGACCTTAGGAAAAAGAATTAGGCTTGGGTGGAGTGGAGCAGAGTAATAATAAACACGTAATCCAAGCTATGTGCTGTACATGTTTGCTATTTTTATTATGACTCATAAAAGTGCTAAACTTTTTGATTGCATTTGCAGAAAATTAATTAGGAATAGTTACAAGCACTAGCTACATGTAAGTGGCCTGGACATTGCAAAATAGTCAAGATTACTCCTGAAAACCAAAGCAGAATAAATAGAGATTTAGAGAATTAGAAAGCTATGTGATGACTAGCTTCTTTTCACATAACTTTAATAGGTAAGTAATAGAATGGATGCTTCTTTCTAAACAATTAGATATATTTTATGCATTAATATTTTTCAAGTAGTCCTTTCATTAAATAAAAATACTGTAGCTATTATTTTTAAAGCTTGATAAGTCTACAAAGAAGATTGTATTATGTACAAATGGGTTTTTTTGAAATTTCTGGGTTCGGTTGACAATTGGTGATACAGAGGATAGTAACTGATTTTTTGATCAACAGAAGCCTAAGACACCAATGAACCATACAGTATATGCAATATAACTGCATTGCTGTAAAATAGCAGTAAGGCTTCCGGTTTATTGATAACTTGGTTTTGTTCTTGTTTGGTTATTGTTTTAAAATAAGTTGTGGATTTTCACATACATAAAAGGAAATTGGAGGGTTTGTTTTTATTGGGCTACGTTTTTTACCAATGCTTTACTCTGACTCCTTTAAATTATTGGCTTGTAAAACCTCTAACCCAAACATGTCCTCAGAATGCAGTGCTGATGCTTTACTCTTAACACTTCTTTCTTCAGCAGGTTTTCAGTACTGTAAAACTGTCTATTTCCAGTTGAAGTCTCTTGAAACACATCCAAAGCAAATTAAAGCTAGAAACTCTATCCATCACAAAAATACAGATTCGAAAAGAGAAGAAAAGCAAGAAGGATTAAAAGGGGAAGTACGCTTGCTAAAATCTCTCACATTTGTGAGAGTGGTCAGAATGCATGAAATGGAAATTGAGATTTACACTGACAGTTCAAACCAGTAATGCTCATAATACTAACTTGCAGGTTTGGGGGTGTGTTTCCAGTCTCACAGTGCTCACCCTACTCCTCATACAAGTAGCTATCTTAATTTCCTTTTGTGGGTAACCTTACTTCAGAGTCTGGTCTCAACATACCTACTCACCAGATAGGAAATTCACCACTGGATTTGCTTGCATTCCATTGAATACAGAGTTTTTTCAGAGATTTCTTCCTTTCCTGCTCAGCTGTTTATTATCAACTTCTACGAATGAAATATTAAGTCTTAAAGGCAGAATGCAAGACAAACTTGTTTTGATTTTTCTGTATTCATTAATAAGCATGTTTACATAGAATGGAATGGAAGAATATCTCTTTAAGAAATGGACGTCTGTCTGACCTTTGTTGATTCTTAAGCTTTCTTTAAATTTGAGAAGTGTATCAAATTTCTGGGGATTTTGCTTAATACCAGCAACAGGTAATAGGGTAAGTAGGGTTGGAAGTCTTCTATTCAGTCTTGTTACTCACAATTTCTGGAGCAGAAGTGTCATCTGTTATGTGTATAGTTTATGGTTGAAAAGATATTTCTGCAGTGCTTTTCCCTCCTATGCATAATTGTTTACAATGAACTTTTTAATCTGTCATTTATTTTAGGAAAGTACTTTCATATTCTCTAGCAGGAATTTGCAGTTGAAGATGGGGATGTTACTTTTATTTGTATAGATACACTTCAGTCACAACAGTAATGATGGCCTAGACTTTTCTCTTTGCCACATCAGGTGTGAGCCACCTCATGTGACATTGGCAAGTTCCAAGTTTTTTGTAGTTTTAAACTAAGGGAATTACTACATAAATAAGAACAGGCCTTAATTAAGTTGTCTGAAGGCAAATGTTAAGAACTCTGAGAATCCAAGTTGTGCCAGTTGTCATGTCAGGCAAATTACTATGGAAAACAATATTTTTTATTTCAGTTATGGTAGTGTCAATTTTTTTCTGCAAAACATAATGAAAAATCTTGCCAGATGTCACATATATAAGATCCCTTAAATAGAGAGAAAAACATATGAACTAGTTTTTCCTTTCTGAGTTAGAAGAGATTTTTGGTTCATTCTCATATTCCTTTGAAAAACACTAAAGCTATTTGAATGCCTTCAGCTGATAATGCAGAGATGCAGCACTTTGAACTAAGCAGAGCAGAAATTTTCCCAGGATGTGTTGAGGGCTGTGTACCGGTAAAGCTCTTCTTTGGGTAGGCATGGTCCAAATTTGGAACCCTTACAAGGGCTTAAAGATTTTCAGAGAAACCTAAAAAGACTTAGGCCCCCAGAAAGTGATGATGTTGTTTAGCTGACTAAAACTTTGAATTTACCAGCTGCTGGCTGTTACTGATCGGAGCAGATAATCTGATTTACTGATACTTTAACCCATGTAGTAAAGACATCTCTTAGTTGAGGCGGACAAATTGAGTCATGCACAACTTCGTAACTACAGGCTCTAAACACTGTTCTGCACAGAAAATGTGTTTTTAATACATGAGCAGGCAGTAAGATAACAGAGCACTGGTTGGCACACTCTCTAGTCCAAGTGCTAGCCCCTGTCACATGAGGATCCTTGCACTGGGAGTTTGCACGTGTAGGTCTCTCTTCCCCCTGGGGTGACTTTCCTAGAGGACAGGGCAGAGGAGTGCTGGAACTTCAGAGAAGCATCACTATGATACAGATCAGCAAGAGGCAAATTAGAATCAGGCAGAAATTCACAAAGAGCTCTTGGAGCCTTTGGCGTGCTTGTGGGTTGACCTCAATAGTTGAGGCTCTCCTCAGAGCGGAGCGGGTCATGTGTTGGACCTTCTCCATGGCAACAGGAAAGCAGAGGGCACAAATCAGAGGTTTTAGGAGTGCAGGAAAGAAGAGCAGTGGTCAGGAACAGTGCAAAGTGCCTAATATCTTCTCTTTGTTTTAGACAGCCTTTGCAGAGCTGGAAAGCAGGAAAGCAGAGAATTAGAAGTGCAGAAGTGTTTTTGAGTGTAGAGATTGTAAAAGCAATCTGTTTATTTCAGACTTTTTAGAGCTTTAAAGCAATGTTTTTAGGTTAAAACTGAATTTTAAAATTTTAGAGTTTTAATTTTAGATTTGTATTGTATTATGCTTCTCCTTCTGAAGACTACTGAGCACCTGCTTCTTAGCAGTGTTAAGTAACTGTACTATGGAAACTGTGGATATCTGAGTTTTGCCCAGATTATTGCCTTAGATCCTAAGCTCTCTATCTCACACAGCCTCTGTGGCTGATTGCCTTTCCACACACACCTCTCTGCTTTATTTGCTCAAGGACTTGTGAAGGCTTGATGATAAGTGTAGGGTCACAGACCTTTTGGCCAGATCTGGATAGTCCTCCTGGCTGGTACTGACAGGGCAGATAACCTGATTTACCAGTACCTTTTGCTGGAAGGGAGGAAAAAAATTCTTGTTGAAATATTTCCATTCCAAGAAGAAGTTCTTGATGGTGGGCTATTAAAACCTAATGCATCACTCCTGTAGGGAATTTTAGTAACATGCTTCTCAACAGGCAAGACTGAGTAGGGACTAAATATTTTTTTATGCATGTTGGACAGTATATTACAAATGTGGGTGCAAAGGCAGAGGACTGCTGCAAGAAACAAAACAAAGCAATTACACAATTTTGTCTTTTAAGTGAGTATTACATTTAAAGTGTATTTTTCCTATTTAAAGTGCATTTTTCCTATTTAAAGTGTATTTTTCCTATATTTTTTAGTGGCAGATGGAAGACAGGGTATCAGTTGTTTCAAAACTCTAAATAAGTAGTTGCAACATAAAACCTTCCTGTAAAAACCTTCTGTGGCAAGAAGCTGGCTTTGATATATGCTTGTTTAGCTCATGGTGAGTTGAATTCTGAATGTAGGTGCTGTCATAATGTGAAAACTTGGTTTTTAAAATAATGATGATGATCTGTCAAACTTTATTCCTAAAGCTGCACTTACCCCTAAACATTTTATGAATTAATATTGTGTTCATATATTTCATAGAAGGCCTCTCCTTGTCATCACTTCATTTTGTTTTTCCTGGAAATAAGTGAAGTTATATATGCCACGTAGAGGAAGACAATTGCTTAATGTCTGCTGCCCAAATTACATGATGATCCTGACTGAATCAGAGATACTTTGCCCATGAATTTGTCTTTATATGTGGCTAAAATGGAACAACCTTAAAAGGAAATGAAAGTGTCTTTCAGACTCTTCCTTTTTTAATCCTTTCATGTTGGGCTGTAGAGTGAAATGTTACTGTATGAACAGAATGCATGTGTTTTCAGTGGCAGTGTTGGTATTTAAGAGAGACTTTCAAAAGCAATCAGATTGCACATGGTCCTCTAATACCCTTAGAGGACTCCATGGGATGACATCTCCTCAAACTGAACTTCAGATTTTGTTATGATTTTTTGAGCTGTAGTTGATCTTAACTTTATTGCGAAAAAAAACATACACCAGAACATACTCTTGTAGTGACTACAATTTTTCATCTTTGTTTGACTTTTTGCTGTACCTGTTTTCATCTATTTAAGCAGTTAAATGCTTGCCAAGTATATTCTGCTTAGTTCTTTACTAGTCATGGTCTGTCCCAAGTGCAGTAAAAGTAAGACATGCACAGGAATTCTAAAGTCTCTTGGCTGAATTCACATTCATTCTCCCAGCCCAGTACAGGCTGGAGTGCATTAGACTGGTTATCCTCTTGCAGAGAAGTCCCAGTAGATGAACCACAAATGGACTACATGGATAGAGAGGAGTTTGTGTAACCAGCTTCTGTGACAGACACTGCTCAGAGAACAGCATTTCCTGTGGGTGACTTCATCGTGGCATTTTATGTGTCAGGTGTGTGCAACTCTTGGTCTTTGGGCTGTGTGTGACTTGCTGCAGCAACATTTATCTTTCCTAATTTTTTTTTTCTTGGAGCCCACAGAAGGATTAGAACAGCATCAATGTGTACTTGTGCACATGCAGAATAAATGTAAATTCCATTTCATTAGAAACTAATGCAACCCTACTGCATTAGGTGTAACTGCACTCACGCTGGCACCTGCACTGCAGTGTTGCTGCATACGTTTCACTTGCATGACTCAAGGGGCAAGGCCCTGGGGCTCTGAAGTGCTTCCATAAAAAGCAGTGTTATCTGGTTGGGCATCACAGATGCAAGGCCAAAATAGATTTTTAGACACATGTGACCAGAAGGGAATACAAAAGGATCTTAAAAAGTGGAAGGTAGCATAAGTTAAGACCTTTCTACATCATACAGCTAGAAGACATTGTAGAGAAGGGATGAGGAGAGGACAAAATAGATTGAGTTTCTTGATTTAATAGTTTATGTGGTTTTGGAAGTTTTTGAAACATCTGTGTGTTGTTTAACCTCCTGTCTGTGGGGTAAGTTTTCTTGTAAGCAAAGGAAGCCAATTCTGTGTCTGTATTTCAACAAGTTTGTCTTTACAAGTGCTCGGGTTCAACTAATAAACACATACCTTGCTTGTTAATCCTCCATGGCGCTGTCACCCACCTAAAGTGTGCAGAAAGAGAAACAGATTCAGTAACACAGCTGCACACAGGCTATCAAGGTCAAAATGGACAGCTTGGAAAATAATTACACAGAAACAAAGACTGGTCATTGTCACAAATAGTAACTGCTCTCTGCTGTTCAGTGCCTGGTGTTTTAGGCCAATATAAAGAAGAATTGGTCCTGCAGACACCACTTCTTGAAACAAATGTGCAGCAAAAGGGCAAATTATATTTGATATTTTTTAGGAGTCACAAAGTGTGACTCGTGTGACAAGACTGAGCATCACACAAGGGGAGCAGTTGGCTGCATTGCTATGCAGTTCTGTTTTATGAGTGCTGTTAAGGGATGTGCAAGGCTTGTCTTAGGCACAGAGTGAATCTGCAGAAGATGTCTGGTGGCTGACCCTCTATGTTACTATGTAGGGAATCCCCTATACTCCATACTTCAGAATGAGTCACTGATCACAGTTATTGCTTCCCACTTCACTGACATGTGACTGTTTCCCTGATTTGTATTAGGTTATTTTTATCTTTGTTCCTGGGTGCCCTTCACAATGAGAGAGGGTATGTGACCGAAGTGAAAACTGTGGGCCATTCCTGGTGCAACTGCATTGACTCCTTTGAAGTCACACGGGATAAATTTGGCTCCCTTGGAAATGCCACAGCCTGTTTCCTGTCATACGTTCACTAAATGCAGCAGTGATATCAGTGGAATAGAAGAAGTTTGACTTGCTTGAATTCTTGCAGTTCCACATGACCAAGTGAAGCCCTGAGAGGCTGTAAAAGTTATGTTGCATAAGTCTATTGCATAGATTTTTAGAATGAGATGTCCCAAAACCCCAGTAATTCACTTCTATCCATTGAAAAAAAAGTCTTACTAACCATGAACATAGTGATGGAAAAAGTACATAAAGTTATGTTGATTAAAGATTTAGGCACTGACTTGTGGCATATAATATAATTTTTCAGTCATATGGAGACAGTATTTCCTTGGGATGGGGAAAGAACCAACAATTCAGCTTGTAGTATGAAAAGTGCTGGTAACAGCAAAAAACACACTCATTTTATCATTCTCTTTACCTTTTGTTTGTTTTGTACTGAGGTGTCATGTGTGTTTTAGAGAGCACAGGGGAAGACTCACATTTCAGATTATTTTTTTTTCCCTCTCTGACAAATTCATTGTTTCTACAGTCTTCCTTCTGAGTAGCTTTGATGTTTTTGGTGTTCTAAGACACAAGACCAACAATTTGAGCCTCTACTTGTATTTCAAGTCCATGAGAATGTGAACAGTGTAGGTGACAAGAAATTACACTGATGAATAGTTGAACACACCAGTCGTTTTGGGTTTTGAAATTTATCTACATATCTTGTGGATAACTGGGACTTACATGTGTGCTGGTCCATTAGAGTAGCCTGGGAGCCAGTGCTTTGGGCTAGTTTTTAAGTTGGTTAAACTCCCTGCAACTGCTGCAGGACCATGCAGTAGGATCTTGGGCAGGTTCTTCAGTTTCCATATTCATCAAAGCAAGACATAAAATAACTGTATACCAATTCCAGTCTGTTGATCTGCCTTTTACTTAGTAAATTTCTTTTAGGAAATTAACTCCATGCTCTGCTGCGTTCACTGATTACCTAACAAGTTATTTCATGTTGAGTTTTAGCTATGGTGGTTCATAATGTCACTTTAATAGGAAATAGTCTAACTGCAATTTGAATTAAAGTAAAAATTGAAATACATCTAGCATGTATAAAAGGTAGAAGTGGAAGGGTATGTTCCAAGTTTTGTTTTTAACCTTCTAGCACATCAGGGAACAATGATATGGCATTGATTCAGAAGGATATAGTAGATAATTCAACTTCTGTGAAGTTACTTGATGCCAGGAAGGTCCTGTTTAGCCTTTTCTCAATCTCCAGAAAGTAATAGCAATGTTCAGTTCTAAAGTGTCTTGTAGTTTTAGGGAACAGAACTTTACTTCCCTGTGGGATTTTTTATTTCTCCAGCTGGGGTACTTCTTTATTCCTAAATCAAATTATTCTTAAAGCAAAGAAAAAGTTGCTGGGGTAGTTCTGTACATGTATCCCGTACCTTTTTGCTTGCTGATGGTCTGAAAAAGCAGTGAAAATCACCTTTACACAACTAGTTACAAACTGATGATTTCAGTGAGTTTCCTGCTGGAAAGCACTATGGAGGCACTATATTACTAACTTCCTCAAAGGATGAGAAGTAAATGCCGCTTTTAAAAATAAAAATGTGGTAATACATAAATCTGAATCTTTCTTAAATAACAATTGCATTGT